GGTTGGATACCCATCTGGCTGGTGTCATCTAGACCCAGCACGCTTTCCTGCCTATGCAGGGGGTCGGACTCGATGGTCTATTGAGGTCCCTTCCGACCCTAGCATTATGAATCTATGAATCTGTGACAGCCTGCGTCAGATGTTCACATGGCTGCTGCATGCCACCAGGCTCCTGCGACCCAACACGCATGTCCTGTCTGCCCTGTGCCCCCCTGCGCTGCCCTCTGCACTCACTCTGATGGTGCCCCGGACTGCTCTGACTCACCCGTCCAGGCGGCTGTAGCTGGCCTGCAGCCCGATGCCCCGTGCCCACTCCACCAGCTTTCTCTTGACCAGGGATGACTGGCTGAAGGTGGCTTTGAGCTTCTCCTCCATCTTCTCCCACACACGGGGCACTGCGAACAGGAATGTGGGGCGCACCTCCTTCAGCGTGGGGAGCAGGGAGCCCTGGGTGCACACAACAAGCAGAGTCAAGGGAAAGGGGCACAGGCTGGGGGGCCCTGGCAGCCCACACACCCACAGGCAAAGCTGGTGCCCCTCCCCTGGGGACCCCTGCTCTGGTCCTGGCCTCAGTGAGGGGCTGTGCTCTGTGAGGGCCAGACCCTTCTGCACTCCCTGCCCTTTCTGGGGCTGCAGCTCTGCAGTGACCCCTGGGCAAGTCCAGACAGGGCCAGTGCGAGGCATCCAGCAGCTGGGCCTTAGGGGGACTGGTGGGGTGCAGGACAGACAGGTTAAGAAAAGGAGGGTGACAAGGTGGACAGGGAAGCTGACTCCAGAGACTACTGCTAGGCAGATGCTGACATGCGACAGGCAGACTGGGCCCCTCCAACATCACCCCAGCACACTGCGAGGACAGCACCAACAGCCTAGTTATGGACATTTCAGGGGGGCACAGGTTGGACCCTAGGCTGGTCAGAGCCTTTCTCTGCCTGTGACCAGCAGAGGCAGCAGACAGGGCAGCCGTCGGGAGGAGGAGTGGGGAAAGCCTTGGTGAGGAAGGAACAATGCCTAAAGCAGCTTGTTGAATTTGTGTATATGAAGTGTGTGTGAGTGTGTAGGAAGCATGTGTATGTATGTGGGTGTGGCGGGCCAGTAGGGGGAGGTCCTGCATGGCTCAATGGCTCATTCCACCTCACTGTGCTCGCCTACCTTCCGGACTCCACGTGTCTCTCCAGGGGTGCCTAAACCCTGGCAGACCCCCTTTTGAGCCCCACCACTGAGCCCGGGGGTAACGTGTGCTGCCACCACCCTGAGAAGGGACTGTCTGGGTCCTGTGTACTCTACCCAGTACAAGAACTTGGGGCACTTCCCCAAGTCGGGGGCCAAAAAGGATAGTCTCCCTTAGTCCACAGACCCAAGGGGCCTCCTAGGCATAATTAAACCCACCCCTCAATAAGTCTCCCACACTAGGTACAAAGGAGAACTTTACTGGTTACAGAGGGTAGGGTTAGAATAGGGTACAGGGTAGAGCAATATCAGAGAAATCCCATCGAGCAAACTCCTGTGGCTGGGGTAGCCTTTGATCTCACATCTGAGTTACTGCAAGCTGTATATCTAGTTGGATCTCAGTTAGGTTACTCACAAGTACCATCCAGAGGCTGTTGGAGATTCCCTCTGGAGGCAAGCCATCCCTTGATCACAAGTTTTGAGAGATAGAGCAAGTTTCAGATGGTGCAGCTCTTCTTTGTCTCTGAGTATCCCTCATGGCTGCTGGCTCTCCTACTCCTGGGCAGTCCTTAATTTATATAGCCCTTGTGACCTCATTTACCTGGTCCAATGGAGGTCAGCACCTGTTGGCTGTTAGCCAACCAATTTGAAATACATCACTAGTTGTCGGGCAGACTCTAGCCCACCAGGAAGGAAGCTCCTCACCCAGGTATGTGATGCTAGTCACGTAGGCAGAGGGAGCAGGTTTCCCCCCTCCATCAGGAATGTATCCAGCTCAGGTTACCCAAAGAGATAGGGTAAAGGTATGTACCCTCTGCTGGGCCCATCCTAATCACTATTGTCACAGAGCAGAGTTTTTGTGGGGAGAAACAAAGGTGGCTTTCTGCCACAGTGGGAAGCGTGTGTGAGCATGCAGGAAGTGTGTGAAGCAGCTCTAGGATTCTCCATAAAGGAACATCAGGACTGGTTTGACAAGAATGATAGGGAAACTCCAGCTCTCACTGACAGAAAAAGGAGATAGCCAGCATGGGTTTGTTGCGGGTAGGTCTTGCTTGACCAATCTCATTTCCTTCTACGACCAGGTGACCTATCACCTGGACAAGGGAGAAGAGATTGATGTCATATATCTTGACTTCAAAAAAGCCTTCGATCTGGTGTCCCATGATCGCCTCTTGGAGAAACGGGCCAATTGTCGCCTTGGGTCCTCCACGATCCACTGGCTGGAAAATTGGCTCCGGGGTCGGACCCAGAGGGTAGTAATCGATGGAAGTCACTCATCGTGGTGTCCTGTGACCAGTGGGGTCCCCCAAGGCTCTGTCCTTGGACCCATACTGTTCAACATCTTCATTAATGATGTGGACACTGGAGTCAGAAGCGATCAGAACTGGCCAAGTTCGCCGATGACACCAAACTTTGGGGCAAAGCATCCACACCAGAAGACAGGCAGGTTATCCAGGCTGACCTGGACAGGCTCAGCAAGTGGGCGGACGAGAATCTGATGGTGTTCAACGCCGATAAATGCAAGGTTCTCCACCTTGGGAAAAAAAACCCGCAGCATCCTTATAGTCAAGCAAATCCCGGGACGTCTTTCTCCCCTTGTACTCGGCCTTAGTGAGGCCGCAGCTGGAGTGCTGCGTCCAGTTTTGGGCTCCACAATTCAAAAAGGATGTGGAGAAGCTTGAGAGAGTCCAGAGAAGAGCCACGTGCATGATCAGAGGTCAGGGAAGCAGACCCTACGACGACAGGCTGAGAGCCCTGGGGCTCTTTAGCCTGGAAAAGCGCAGGCTCAGGGGTGATCTGATGGCCACCTACAAGTCTATCAGGGGTGACCACCAGTATCTGGGGGAACGTTTGTTCACCAGAGCGCCCCGAGGGATGATGAGGTCGAATGGTCACAAACTACTTCAAGATCATTTCAGGCTGGACATAAGGAAGAACTTCTTTACTGTCCGAGCCCCCAAGGTCTGGAACAGCCTGCCACCGGAGGTGGTTCAAGCGCCTTCATTGAACACCTTCAAGATGAAACTGGATGCTTATCTTGCTGGGATCCTATGACCCCAGCTGACTTCCTGCCCTTTGGGCGGGGGGCTGGACTCGATGATCTTCCGAGGTCCCTTCCAGCCCTGATGTCTATGAAATCTATGAAATCTATGAGAGCCTTCAAAGTCCGGCAGAATGACATCAGCTCCAAACAGGAGCAAGACAGCTCTCATCACTTGAAAGCCAAGACCCAGAGGAAAACTGGAGAGGGAAAGAACAGGTGGGGGGAGGACAGAGCAAAAGAGATTTGAAAGTCTGCTGACAGCTGCGACACACATAGTTTCTTCAGTGGAACCAAAGCGGTCTTTGGGCCGATCACTGCAGAAGCTGCTGTGCTGAGGTCCAAGGATGGAACACCACTCCCTAAAGACAGCTCCACCACCAACACGCAGCGAAAGAGCTGTCTTTCAAGCTCCTATGTCTGGAATCCATTAAGCATGTGAGCAACAACGCATGTGGGCCTGGAGCTTCAATTTAGAAGCAAGGTGGATAAAAGCTCTCTTACAAATGACATGTTATTAGGAAAATCCAGAAACATGAACATATTCCCAATGGCTTGAGAGATGCCAGAATCATTTCTGTATTCAAGGAAGGAGATAGATTAGACTGCAGCAGTTATTGTGGTGCTGTGCTCCCGTTCAGAGCTGCCTTCTCCTCGATAGACTCACTTGCCCCACTGAAGGGTTTCTACCCAAGTGTCAGCATGGGTTCAGACCACTCAGGTACAACAGACACCATCTGTGCTGCTAGACAGCTGCAAGACCGAGGTATTTCATGGCCTTCATTGACCTGACTAAGGCCTGGGATTCAATGTACAGCAGGGTGGGCTGAATAAAGATTGTGGACCAAATCTGGCCTGCGGAGGGACTTTGTCCAGCCTGCAGTGGGTCCCTTGGTCCCACCTGGCCCAGGTGTAGTCTGTCCTGTGGTGCATCCTGCCGCTCCCTGGGCACACAGTGGGGTTGGGGTGGCTTGGCAGCTGGACTGCCTTTTTAGGTCTCCTAAGTGGTGATACTGCAGTACTGGTGGGGACCCACACATGGTGCCCCAACCCCAGTCCACCCCGGACTCAGCCCGGTGGAGTAGATCAGCTAGTACCTGTGCACACTGCCCTGAACCACCCTGTGCCTGACAGGCCCGCAGCAGCTCCCCATAACTGCCTGTAAGGCCTGTGAGCAAAATAATTGCCCACCCCTGATTTACAAAGAAGCCCCAAGAAAGAGCCTGATGAGATCTGGATACCCACAGAACTATGTTACCATTCCCAGTCTCTTTCACAACACAGTAACAATTGTCTTAAGCAATGACATGGGAATGGACCCCTTTGCTATTAGAACTGGAGTCAAGAAAGGATGTGCAATTGCACCAACTCTCTCTTCCATCTACATTGTAGCTGTTCTGTCTCTCACTGCTGATACACTTCCATCTGGAGTCAGCATTCAGTATTGCATGGACGGGAATCTCCTTACCATCAACCAATTACGTTCCAAGTTCTAGATAACCAGCACCTCCATTACTGATCTGAAATATGCTGAGGATTGTGTCATGTACCAGCTCAATCAAAGAGTGGCCCTCCTCTGCACCCTCTCCATGCTGTCCACATCCCTCCTGAAGTGCGGCGCCCAGAACTGGACGCAGTACTCCAGCAGCAGCCTGACCAGTGTTGCATAGAAGGGGAGGATCTTCTCCCTTGACCTACTCAGGATGCATCTGTGGATGCATGACAAGGTGCGGTTAGCCTTACTGACTGCATCCCCACATTGACAGCCCATGTTCATCTATAATGACTCCAAGATCCTTTTCTGCCTCTGCACTGACAAGAAGGGAGTTCCCCAGCCTGTAGGTGTGCTGCTGGTTCTTCCTCCCCAGGTGCAGCACCTTGCACTTGTCAGTGTTGAAACCCATCCTATTTTCATTCCCCACACCTCTGTAACCTGTTGAGATCTAGTTGTAGCCTGTCCCTCTGTTCTAGCTTGCCCACTTCCCCCTACATCTTAGTGTCATCTGTGAACTTGAACAAGGTGCTTTTCACCCCTCTTCCAAGTCACTGATGAAGATGTTGAACAGTGCAGGCCCGAGGACCGAGCCCTGGGGAACCCCACTGCTCACATCTCTCCAGGTCGAAAATGACCTGTCCACCACCGCTCTCTGGGTGCAGCCCTCCGCCAATTAGCGACCCATCTGACTGTGTAGGCGTCGACACCACAGATGCCTTATTTTTTAAAGAGGACAGGGTGAGA